ACCTTATTGCCAAAGATATACTGTCACATCCAACAATGACCGACGTCGTCTCAGCAAACAAAAACTTGGTCAATTTCTTTACAAAATCACATTTTTGGTCTGACTTCCTTGAAGATTGGCGAAAAGAAAACAAAATTGGACATGGTCTCATGACTGCATGCGAGACTCGCTGGTATTCAATGGCAAAAGTCTGCATCAGTGTATCCGAACATGAGGGTGGGTTCAAGAAAGCAATCGAAGCCGATGATGACCCTTTGTTTGATTCACCCAAAATCAATGCAAATGTCCGATCAATAATCTCTGATCGCGACCATTTCACGGGAAACCAAGCTCTCATAATTGTTTTAAGATCAGTGGTTGATGCCATCGGTCGATTGGAACATGCCAACACAACTCTTGCCGACATCTGGAAAGAAGTTCTGCACGTCTATTGTGCTCTATCAAAGATCGACGTCTACAGTCGATATCTTCCATTCAAAAGATATTCCAAAAGTGTCCTACACCTGCGAAGCAAAGTCTTCAATGAAGACATCTACTTTATAGCCTTCTTTTTGAATCCCTCGTTTCGGACTACTGCTGTATCTCGCGGGTTTGACCTTCGCAAGATGAATTGGATGATATGTAACCTTGCTAATCGATGGGGATTCTCTGCAAGGGAAGGTTACACAATAAAGGATGAAGTTATTAGGTTCTATAACTCTCAGTCGCCATTTCAGTCGGACACTAATAGTAAGTCCCTTTATAGTTTCTTGAGACCTCTATACCTACATGACTCATCTGACATTTGCTTGAGTCGATCTAGGCTCTCAGCCCCTTACTTGTTGGCTCAGTCTACCGGTTTCAGCCAATCAAAGCCCTCTCAAGAGACTCGCGATTTCTGTTCTCCAAGTAGTTCCACATGCAGCTGGTGTTGAAAGTCTTTTTTCGGATATGGGGGCCACGAAAACGAAGCGCCGTAGTAGCATGAAGACCAACACTCTAAAAATGTCTTCACAGGTCCGGATGCATCTCTTATCACAGGATCCTAACAAAATATACACCTCTCAGAACAAAAAACAAGCTTTGAAAAGCGATCTCGATACTGAAGAAGCTCTTGCTGAGCAAGAATTGGGCCTGGCCGAAGAATTGGAATATTTTGAAGAAGGTGTATTCGCTCATCTGGACCCTATCGATCCCAGTCTTTATGTAGACGAAACTGGATTCATCACTTCTATCTTTGATTTCCGAGTATTTGAGAAAAGTTGTTCATCTAGTCTGGCTCAAGAGTCGCATGTTATGGATGTTCCAGACAGTCCTGGAGTGGCCTGGAGTGCCGATGATCTCTTCAAATGATTTCCTACAACATTTCAACTTATCCTGTCTAATCAAAGTTTTCTCCATATAAATGTAAAAGATTTATATGATGAAATATATGTTTTCCGCTGCTTTTATCTAAAACAAAGCGAATCGAGACAAGGGTGCGTAGCACCGCCGCACACGGGTGCGAGGCAAATTTTTTTGGTGAAAACAGGCGCACAGGTGCGCCTGACTTTTCAAAACACGCGCCCACAGCTTGAGTCGTATCGCTCGCGTTGATGTTCAAATCCAAGAGATCGGCCAAATCAAGCGGGGCAAGCAAGCATTCTCGCTCTGCGCTGGCGACATCGACATTTGCCGTGGGGTTGGGTTCCGCGTGATGGGTATCAATCCTGCAAAGGATAAGATGGCTTCATCAGTCAGTCTCCCTTTTCTAACATTCATCAAGGGGACTGACATCTCGCAGTTATGGTTATTAGACGCAAGTGGAGAACCAGCCGAAAGTCTGGCAGACTTGGATGTACGAGAAGGAGTTGGAGCCATTTTTAGAAAGTGATTTAGATGTTGAAGAAATTCAGAACGAATTGACACTTTTGGAAAGTGATTGAAAAGGAAATCGCCTCGAATTGACGCTGAAAATTGGAATGATATGAAAGCTTTGACGGTGTAGGGAGAAAGACTGAATGAGGTTTCCAAAGAACGGATCACAATGTGATTGTCGCCGTGGTCAAATAGGAAAAGGCCATCCAAAGCCTTGGCCATCGCCATCGCCACCGTGGTTCTTCTCATCTGGAATCGGAAAGCTCGTAAGATGGGATAGTGTCGAAAGTCATGAAGGTTGTTGAGGATTTGCAGGTTAGTCCGATTTGCAGTCCGCAAATCCAAATACGTGATGGGTTAGTTGACAGTCCGGCCACTTGAAATTTGGCCGGTGCTGCGCCGCGCACGGGCCAGCTTGTGATTTTTCGAGTTTTCTGATTTCAAGCCTTTTGAAATTTACTGTACACAACTTTCTTGGTTGTACATATGATGTTTTGTGACGTGATACACTACATTTTGGGAAAGTGCCTATCAAGCGAACAAAGAAATACTTCGTGCAAACTTAAAATGGAAGAATGGTGATTATTGTTCCTTCAGCATGATCTTTGGGAGACTTGAAGCTGAAGAGTTTCCCAGAAGAAAATGTTTGATGGTACCTAAAGGCACGACGGTACCATCTTTTTCCACCATACGGGTAGATGTCGGGTAATGGGTGATCAAGAAAGTGGCCCGGGGCCGGGACATGTTTCTCTCGATGCATAAAAATGTTGCAGAATTTTTTCTGCAACATTTTCCTCCCCCTCCATCCACGTTGTAATTCTCATCCTTGGATTATCCCGCGCCCGGATCTGGATTCTCACATCCCTCACTCATCTCTCTCACAATCTCATCGCTTGAGATTGGACTCTTTTTTGCTCCCATCCTCCACCCAGAAGAAGGAATGTGTTTGGTGTATCAGAACTTGATGCTTATGGCAATGTACACAAATTAAAGAGGTTCCACCCCTTGGATGGTAAGTTTATGCAATGTGGTTTTCTAATGTAGCTCAGAATACTGTAGGTGTGAGAGTTGCCTGGCCCTGCTGTTCAGCACCATCCCATCTACTTTCCAGGTGGTCCTACCTCCCTTGTCCCCCTGCCGATGCAAAGCCCCCCCAAGAAACCTACAGAGTTGTCAAATACATATTCTATGGGTTTGACCAGGAAAAAACCTGTGAAATGTATTCTACTATAGTGCGCGGAGGCAAATCATTGTCAAATTCAAAAGAAGGCCCAAAACAATTGCTACACCTCAAAACTTATGGTATCAACCAGCCAATTGGAGTTCTGGAATGCTCTCATCGAGCGCATTCCATGCATATCTTTTTGGTTGTTTTTTTTTCAAAAGAGTATATCTATACCAAGACACCACCTTTTTCAAAAAAAATCCAGCTTTTGGAATGCTCTCATCCAGAGCAATCCCTGCATATCTTTTTGGAGAAAATAACCATTTCGTTTTTTTTTTTCTGAAGAATTGATCTTCTTTGGCAAATGTATTTTATCTCCTTGAGTTTTTGTCGTAGGAAGTTGAGAAAAAGAACAACTTGTAACCCAAGAGCTTGTTGACTTGGGACAGTAAACCAAGCTTGAGTTGGATGAGCAGCAAACAATATCGATGATAAAACTAGAACCCAACCAGATTGAACAATCTGGAATTTGAGCTGGCGGGGCCAAAAGTGCAAATTATCAAGTATTTACCTGTATTTACTTGATCCCAAATTGCCAAGGTCTTGCCTCCACGCACTATACAGCATTAGTTAAAAATGAGTGTGTAATGATAATAAAAGAAACACAAAGAAACAAGTGTCCTCATTCCTTCCCCTCAATGAGACAACATGAGTAATGAGTGGAAGAAGAAAATTCATTGTATCCAATAGTCCAGTGATTGTGGATTGAAACAACTGCCCAAACCGCTTCAGGGTTACTACAATGGAGCAGTTTTGGTCCTTCCGTTCTGTATATGTCTTTCTCCGTAGGTCCAGGCAGATAAAAAGGTCAGAAACCTTGAGTCTTGCTGTGATCACTTCATCCTGAAGGTCAAGGGCTCTAATTCATTATTGAGTCTTACTACATGCTCAATCAACATTAAACACCTGTGTTTTTGAGCAAGAGACAATCAAGACTTGATTGCATCAAGAGAAAAGGGGAGTTCCATTTGGCCTCTATATTCACATATTCAATAGTGTACCCAATTTGTTTTGAAACAAAATCCAGCTGCTCTAGTGCCCACTGTTTATGTTCTGGTCATTTTGACATTTCAACATGAAAATTGGAATGAAAATCAGAAAATACACAAATTGGTATCAAGGTGGCAAAACTCAGCTGGGGCATCTGACGACTTTGCTTTTGTGATTGTCCAAGCAATTTGTTAATGTAGCCACTGTTTAAAAGCATGATTGGCTGTGGTAAGTTGGACTAGCCACACATCTTGTCAGTCTTTTTGTGATCCTATCTATGATTTAAGTCCATGTGACTTTTCCGGATATGAGAGGGGATGAGCATGAGTGTAACACAATTCTAGTCCAAGAAGACCTTATGGGTCAGCTTTCATAGTACCAGTACCATGATACAGTCATTGTGTACACACAGCAAATGTACAAACCACTTCAAGGAAACCAAATTCATGAGCAAACCCACAATTTCTCTCAAGTGACAAAGAGATTTCAGTTGAAATAACTTCTCTGCCATCTTTGTAGCTTCCCACCATGTGCTAGTCATCTCATGTACTTGAGGTGATATGAGCGGTAAGCTTTCAAAATCATTAGACTATGATTGTTACTTATTGGTGCTGCTAGTCATTAAGCCAGAGCTAATTCAAAATTTTATCCAAATGTGAACCATTGTTAGAAAAAATGAAGAAAATGTTCAGTAATCCTCTTTGTCATTCACAAACACATTTACAGATCCTATACACTCATATCCTCAGTGGATTCCTTTGTATAGTTGTTCACATCCATCCAAGTTTGTTTGTAGTTCAACTCATAACACCACCATTCACTTAGTCTTGCCATATCTTATCACAACATCAAAAACAACACTTCCTATACCTCACCCATCCTTGAATCTGTCTTTCTATCATCACTTTGATCATGGTTTATAAGATGTCCATGCATGACAAAAAAGAAAATGTCATTCATCAAGGCAGGAGACCGGCCTCAACACCAGGCCAGGCCCCAAATCTCTACAAGATTGCTAGCCAACCCAAGTCTACCCATTGTTCTGGAACAAGCCAATTTATCTTCCCCACCATTTGCTATTCCTCCTAAACAAGTTTAACCATCATTTGCTTGCCTCAATCACACAAGGAGAAGATCCAACAATTCAAGTAGCAAATCTAGCTTTTGTCCTTCCAAATAGTATAAGCCAGTCACTAAGAGTAGCTTACAACAAGCTTTGGCATCTCTTGCCATGGGTGATGAAGTATGTCATCATAATTCCTTGGTTATTCATGCTCTTCCAAGTTTTTTGCCCTTGTATCCTCTCATACTCCTCTGCCACTTCCACAGTCTCTGCCCTTGAGTAAGCCTATCAAGAATGTGGAGTTTGAAGATTGTGTGGATAATCCAAAGAATTCAAAGATACAAATTGTGATCAAACAGAAAATCAACAAATCACATAGTAGATCTAGCATTGTCCCAAGCAAGACGTTTTCAAAGTCAGTGGCCTTGGCTGAAAGTTGTTTTGTACCTCTCACTCCAAAGACCCCAAACCTCAAGAGCAAATATTGTGCTAGGCAACAATCAAATAGATTACCAAGAACAAGACATGAAGATGATAAAATCAATGATCCTTTCACAGCATCTACTCATATTGGCAAAAGACAGAAACATAAAAAAAATTGCTCAAATCAAAATCCTCAAGCCCTGTTTACCCTACTGAATTGCCACCTACCCAGATGATTGTGGGATCTTCAAAAGCCCTCAAGAATCCCAAGACCAAATTCCAAGGTCATCTCCAAGAGAATTCTTTTGACAATATCCTTCCTAGCTCAAGACTTCTGTACAACACAATGAAAAAGATCAGCAGTGAAACATTAGATGGTCTCACAAGAGGTGCATTTGATGAAGAAGTTTTAGAAACCATAATTATTGACTGTTGATCAGAGTATGAATTCTTGGGCAGCCATATCAAGGCGGGAATCAGTGTGGAGACCAAGGAGGAGATCAATCCTTTTTTTTTTGCTGAATTGGGGTTCCCATCTCTGGTTGTCTTGATAAAGGAAAAGGAAAAGCAGCATCAAAGAAACTTGTATTGGTTTTCCCTTGCAAATTTTTGTCTATCTGAGGTCCTGAAATGTAAGTCAAATTATGAAAATCCCTCTTTCTCAGTGATTCTTCTTTCTCTTTAGTTTATGTTACAAATACTGACCCCAGTTATATTTCAAACTTAAACTTGGATGTGTTTGAAACAGGGCTTTATATCTTCAAGATAAAGATTGGGAAATCAATCACCCTACCCTATATACCAAAGTTTACCTCTTAGATGGTGGGTTCAAGAATTATGTTTCAATCTTGGAACCCAATTGGAAGGGTCTTCACCATCCTCAAATCCAGTCTTGGAGCTGCTCAAACCATAACTTTAACCTTCATCATTTTAAAATAAAAGAGAAAGATGGTTTTTGTAAGAAGAAGACTTACACACTCTTGGATGTCAACGGGCAAATGAATCTGGGGATATTTGAGGACATACATACCTGGTTCACCAACTATTGCAATGGGTCCATTTTGTTTAGATGGTTCTAGTCCACTGGGTGGCTAATGTTTGGGCTCTGGTGTTTTAGATTTGACTAATGAAGATGACAGTGCATGATGATCTTGAGGTGATAGCTCTATTTGTATTTATGTGGAACCACTTTATGATAAATTGTTCACATGGGTCCAGTCAGTTTAGGCCCTGGTGTTTTAGGACTGTACTTTGATTTGTTTTTGCTTTACAATTGCAGGCTTATGATTTGTACGCTGTTTGATATAATAAAATAAATGGTTCTTGGTATATGGAAACATTTTAATAATGAATTTTGAGATTGAACAATTCTTTCATGTTCAAAGTACTCAAGCACAAATTCATGCTCATGCGGGTATAGGATTGTCCTATATTGTACCTTGAAGGTATGGGAGAATCCATCTCTCAAACTCTTGTAAGAAATATAGAAATAATAATATGCCCAACTGATTGAGAACACACTGACAAAATACACAGGTTATTTGAGGTTTCTGGTGCCAGAATGCACATCTTCTGGCTGTTTTTACACATGATGTTTGTATGTGACTTGAGGTTTTGAAGACAACAGAGCTAAATGTTATACAGTGACTGTTCCTAAGTAACCATCCCACGTCAACACTGCCTACCCCAATGGGCCTGTTGTGGAAAGTGTTGATATCCGATTGGATCCATGAGATACGTTTCAGCTAAGCAAGGCATGCAAAGACGACTGGTATCGCGACATCTGTAGATCGACAGGTTTATCTTCAATCATTGAGTCGAATAGACATCTAGATTGGTAGAAACATTTGATGAATTTGTTATCTGTAGACAAGCAGGGTCGTGAGTCGTCATATTCAGCACGTAAGCGCAACGTGTATTTGCTTCAGTGGGATATAAAGCCTTTGGCCCGCAAGTGAGATATGTGCAACACATGGGAAGTCGCTCCAAAGCGATCTTGGTTGGCCTCTGGAAGAATCGACATGAAGTTGAATTCGATTGTCAATGTCTTATGTCGAAACGGATCAATTATGCGGAAAGTCCCTTGCTTGCAGCATGCCAAGGATCGATCTATTGAAGTTTCACTATGTAGTCTTGTCGGCGGTGAAGGGCAATGAGATGAGGCGGAGGAGTCTTGTAATCTTAGTTGAACAAATCAAAAAGGAAAGACTTGGTTGGGGTCTGTAAGCTTAACGAGCCTCTGAGTCTCATTGGCTAAGCTTAGGTCTGCTCAGCCTCAGTGGCTTGATGCTCTAAGCTGGCCAGTGTCATTTTCCAATCTGAGCTTCTCTTTCTCCCTGTAAACAAGTCCCATTCTCTGACTTCCTCAAGCTTCTCTGCTCTCCCTCTTATCCAGAGCTCCAACACGATCATGTTACCACTTTCAGAGACCGAAAGATGCACCTTGGCATGGGTTTTTCCAATCCCCATAGCCTGCAGAGTCACTTGCCAAGTCCACAGTTTCAAGTTGAAAAGACGTGATAAACCATCTTGGTATATGAATGCCTCCCTACACAACCTTCAACGCTTTTTACTTCACCATAAGTCACAGACGAGAACAATGCAGTCAAGTACACATTCATTCATTGGATTCCAAGAATTGAAGGCTCGACTAGGCATTTTCCAATCAGGGGTTCAGTCCAGACACCTTGTATCATCCAGAGCCTTAAATTTCTCTCAAGAGAGCAGGCAGCTCTTTCTTGTCAGCAATCCAAAGTTTGAGATCAAAGTATCCGAATTATATATTTGGTAAAGGATTTTGTATATGTACTAGATATATCCAAACTCATAGATTCAAAAGATATTCAAAGGAATGAGTTGATATACCATAGCTCATAACATATCAACACGAATCGCAGAGTGACCAGATCCAAGTTGAATCAAATAAAATGCGCAAACACAAAGAAGAGTTACCCAAAAGGAAATAGCACCCTTCAAAGAAGCTTGAATCTATATTACAAGGCATTAAATAGATAAACCAACTGAAGAATCCATGTCTTTTTTATGTCTTTCAAACCTTCATAAAATTTTCTTATTGAAATCTTCATGCTTGTTAACACTAATCCAAATAAATCCTACTAAACTGAGGATATTGGGAATTTCAAAAAAACAAGGAATGACTTGAAGATTGTTTTTGCTTTTACTAAAGATAAAGGGAAATTGATTAGATGAAAGGAAAAAGGGTAATTAAATTGATAGAAAATTATTGCAAGATAAAGAAAATGAAAAAACAAGAAAAAACATTCGAGAAAACAAATTGAACACAACAATGTAAACAAGAGGTGAAGAACAAATCCCGCTGTCATCATTCACATTTCACTGTAAAACTTATTCAAAAACCCTAAACTAGCCAAAACTTCAGCGTGTGATTTACCTTCGTGAATCGCCTCAGGAGCCGAAGAAGGTAACCCAAAAGGGGAAAGTAAAGCCTCATGGATTGTATAGAGCCTATCCTTGGGGGTTGGAGTAGTTTGTTTCCTACTCAACCACCTTGGAGTGGCCAAACTTGGTCCAGTTGAGGATACAACTCTTCTTGCCGATGAAATGGAAGTTGGCGTCTTGGAAGCAGAGCCAATGGGTGATACCACACTTGATGTGGCCGAAGAAGAGGAGACGGTGAGCCCAGGTGTGAAGAAGGTTGAAGACCCTCTGCTAGACAGTGTGTGTCTGTTCGTTCTTGCAACTCGGACTGGCGTAGAAGTTGACCAGTCCACCAAGTTGGAATCATTTTGAGACACGGGCATGTCTAATCTTGGAAATTCAATGCCCCTTGACTTTCCGTGTTTTGACGACTGAAGAGAAATCACATAGAAGTATCAGTATTGTATAACATTGTCAAGAAAATACGTTGTACGCGGAAATGGAGAAATCAGTCAAGTCGAACACGACGTACCGAAATAACATCCTCATCCGCATTGGGTCCCTCAACTTTCACCTTGGTCTTTACATCATCGAAGGTGTGAATCACGTTTTGGCTGAAGTTCTGATTCACAGGGAAGCCAGCAGGAACGCGGATAGGAACTTTGGTCTATGTGAAGGAAATATGTGTGTCAGAATAGAGTGGAATATAGGATGCCAAAAGGTTAGTGAGAAAATCACTAACCGATCGTTGGCTGGCATATCGGCGGGATGTTGCGTTGTTCGCCGATCTAGCCAAAGCTGCCAAAAGTGGATCGGATTGGTCCTGTTAAATTGACAAAATAAAAACAAGAGATGAGCTTCAATGACCAATAATGAAACCCAAAATGAAAATGTAACGATGTCCACATAGAATCAATCAAGTGGAACATAAACAAACCAAATCTTCATCTTCATCCGCACCAACTTCTTCCGTCTCGTCCTTTAGATCATCGAAGGTGCAATGTACCCGTTGACTAAAGTTCTGATTGACTGGGAACCCAGCTGGAACTCGGACAGGAACCTTTGTCTATGGGAAGGCAGTATACATATCAGATCAGATGAGGATAAAAGATCAAAAGGTTAGTGAGAAAACCACTCACGGATCTTTGACGAGCGTATTGGTTGGAAGTCGAAGTGTTTGCAGCTCGAGCCAAAGCGACCAGCAGTGGATCGCTTAGGTCCTGTTAAATGGGCAAAATTGAAAGAACCGAGATGAGCTCTAACGATCAATAATGAAACAGTAAATGAAAATTCCAACGACATCAACGCTTACCAGTGTGGGTTTCACCACCGGTTTTGGATGAGCCATTTCATAGGCTTTGGCACGCTAAAGTAAAAAAAACAAGGTTAACAAGAGAATCACAATGCCTTTGAAAGAGAGTTACGAAACTCACTTTAAAATTCGAGGACGAGATACCAACAACCTTGTTAGGCTGGTCCGATAACTTTAATGCTGACAAAAATCGTGCACGAAGACATGGCTGGTTTGATTGAGAATTCATGATTGAGAAGTATTGTTGAAGGAAATGGGTAAAGATAACAAGATAAGAGTGTGTGGCTTTCGAATAGGTAGTCAAGATAAGATAAGAACGGTTTTTCAAAAGACTAGTAAGAATAATAGTTGTAAATGTGTTTTTGAATGTTAAAGTGGGTAAAATGATATCGATGGAATGATGATTAGAAATGTTTTGTGGTGAGCAAAAGGGTGAGTATTTATATCGAATTTCGTCTCACCAGATCTTGCTAAGGAGGTTCTCTGACTTCATACGCAAAGGAACGCATGGATGAGTGTGGCATCAAATTCTTCGGCAGGCACCGAGTTCTATCTACTTTGTCCTGGATAATTTGCTCGCCATCTTTTAGTTGAGAGCTCGGGAAGGATCCCTTGAACTATGTAAAGCAACAAAGTTGGAGTCCCAGTCAACAAGGGCAACGGGCATGACGATTTTTATTGTTAGTCGGCTCTTATTCGAGATCCAATCATATTCTACTCATCACATGTTTCTTCAAAGCGCCCAATACATTCTCACCTGAAACTTTGTTATCTTACTTTTGTAGGTCAGGTCAAGAACACATGACCAGCTGACCAAAAGGATGGCTGATGGACGTGGGGAAATCTTTGAGTCGAATAAACCTCGCAGAATAATTAATCAGACTTACTCATACCAATCAACACAGACTATACACGGGTTGTGTTGAATATTTGGGAGTGTGAGATTTGCTCGTCGATGTAGAGCTTTGCATATTTTGATAATCCAAGAATTACAAGATTCCGACCAGCTTTTCCCCCTCAATCCTAATAATAATACCGAGAATATATCGTATATAGCTGAACCCCCCATCACAAGTCATTGTAAGAATAATTATTCATCAGTGTCCACCTTGCAAATAAAATTGAGCCAGGAAGGAAAATCCAAGGACCAAAATTAATTTTCCTTGGCCAACC